CCCCCTCTTTCCGATAAGCACATATACATAGTAGTGTTCTATCTGTTTTTCTGAGGTAGCAACCAAATTAATTCGCAACCACTTAATGTCATACTCCCTTTAAAAACCATTTCCAGCACTTTCTTTCAGCTTCAAATACGACTCATTGTAAGAATTCTGTAAGAAAGGTTAACCCTTCACCCCTGGTTACTTCCTTCGCTTCGAGTAGTAAATTGTCCTAAATTTATAGAGCCTTTGTTTCTTTTTCCTTGCATGTTTTTGGCCATATCTTTTTTTGGAAGCTATCGGGAGTATGTCAAAAACAAGGTCAAGAACAGCAGAACCATAGATTATCCAAATTTAAGGTACGTAGGTTTTCAGATGTGCGTCTTTTTGTCAATCTATCTAGACATTTGCCAATTCTGGATCTGATGGTGCATTTACTCCACTGCAGACGTTACTTCACAAATTGTATATAAAAACGATTTACACTGAAGAAAATGAGCATAAAATTGTCACCCGTTCCGCATCCTTGAACAAATCGCGCCACCATCATTACTATAGCAACACTGGATGGAGCGAAAAACGGTAAGGAGAGATACAGTATGTTTCCAGCCATCATAAAGCAAAATCCGGCTAGAAGTGGTACACGCACCTAAAATGTGTACCTTATGGGCAGTCTCTGGAGTGTACTCCTGTCGTATTTTTTTATATATCAACTTTGTCATCAAAGAGAAGCCATTTTTAAAAAAACTTTAAATTCAAGTTCCTTGTCGCGTCGTCGATGCCTGGCCAACCTAAATATTTTGTAGGAATAAATATGGTACCTGTTCTATTCGATTACTCCAGTATCCAAATGTCGGAGCTGATAGGCATTGTCCAATACTGTACAGGGCTACAATGTAGCCAAACTGTGTTTCGACGGCATTTGGATTCAACTGCAATGACAAACTCACGGAAAACACATGGTTATAGATGTATACTCGACGACCGTACCTTTCGCAGATATGGCCACATCGAACTGAAGTATATACTGAACTGGGCTGCTTGAACGAATGAGCAGGCACCAGCGATATAAATAGATTTCCATGGTGTAGTTGGCTTTTCTATGTGTTCTTGGTGGCACAAAGAACCATCTTCAGTGCTATCCTAAACAAATGCAGGAAATACTAAAGAACGATCTCGTTGGCTAAATTCTGCCATTTTTATGTTAATCTCACAGGGATGTCTCCTCTCTTATCTTATGCACTTTCTTTTGAATTCGGAAGTATTTGAAGGAATCAAAATGTTCATGATCTTGTCAACGAGTTGTTTGCTGCACAATCAGCCCATCTACCGTACTTAGTATCCGCACTACTTCCTTATTGCCAACCTATCACTTCCCTGCTTCATTCATTTGCTACTACTCTAA